GTTACCTTTACCAATAACACGAACAATATCATGATGTAACGCATCAACAGATAGAGAACAAAGCTCTGAAACACGAAGGCCACAACCGTAAAGAACTGCAAGCAAAGCAGCATCGCGTAAACATAATGGCTCTTGGTCTTTGCTTGCTAAGCTATCAATCCAAGTAATAATTTCAGCAGCCTCAAGAACTTTAGGTAACTGTTCTGCTAATTTAGGTGCTAGTAGTTGGGCAGCAGGATTATTGTCAATCAAACCACGCTGATGTAAAAAACGAAAAAAAGTTTTTAATACGCTGATAAAGCGTGCTTGTGTTGCAGGTGATGCCTGACTTAAATGGGCTCGAATGTAAGCTTGCAGTTCTCTTGTTTTAATGTTCTGCCAGTTCAGTTTATTTTTTTGCTTTAGATAGGGTTCTAACCAGCGTGCTAAGTCACGCTGATATGCTGTAACTGTATTTATTGAGAGGCCTCGCTCAACTTGTAAATATGTCTGGAAATCAACAAATTCTGGACATTGTTGTTGCACATATTGGACAGCTTCGGTAATCGAAGACATAAACTGTTCCTTGTACCTTATACGCTAATTCGGTTTACCTGTTTGGCTAGCCATAATCATACCAGGGTCAATACCAACACCTCTTAAAACTTGATCCCAGACGTTATCTGGTGATGTTTCAAAGATATGCTGAGGATCAGAAGGTACCGTTAACCAAGCTCCTTGCCCTAATTCTTGATCGAGTTGACCAGGAGCCCATCCAGAGTAGCCGAGAAAGAGACGAAATTGGATCTGGCCGTTACAAACCTGTTTTAGGGTTTCAGGCAGTCCGCTAATATGAATACCTGTTTCGATGGTTTCGGATCCCTCAAGAGCATCTCCACCACTATGCAATAAAAAGCCACGGTTAGGATCAACAGGTCCACCTTGAAAGACACCAGCATCACTAGTAGATGTAAATCCAAACTCGGAACAAACTTCTGGTAATGTTAGCTGTCCAGGACGATTAATCGTCAAGCCAAAGGCTCCTTCTTCTCCATGGGTAATTAAATAGACGACAGCTCGCTCAAAATGTGGATCTTGTAGCTGTGGTACCGATACTAAAAAGCTGGGTGCTAGTCTTGTTTCGGTTTCTTGATCTTGCATGGAAAACCTCCAGAGGCTTGAACTATAAAGTATGATCGATCCGTAGAGAGCCTATAAGCCGGATTCTGTCGAGAACGATCATTTATCTAGGCATACTATTACTAATATGCTCATGCGGCCTACCCAAGAGCTTCAGTCGAGTAAACTTCAAACGCTCTTCTATTTGGCCTTGCTCCAGGCGGGGTTTACCTAGCCTTTTTGATTACTCAAAAAGCGGTGGGCTCTTACCTCCACCGTTGCACCCTTTCTTTATAACAATGCTATAAAGTGGTCTTGTTTCTGTGGCACTTTCCCGCAGCTTTCGCTGGGTGGATGTTATCCACCGCCCTACTCTGTGGAGTCCGGACTTTCCTTAGCACTAGCATTACTAGCGCCACGATCGTTTAGCCCTCATAAATCGACCATAGTTATTATTATATTGCTGAGGAACGCCTCCTGACAAGGAGACTTCAAAAGAGAATATTTGTAGGGTTTGATTCCGGCTATCTGTTTTTTGCCTATTGAAATGTTTCGTTATTCTACGTAGCCTAAAGATAATACTATTTCTGTCTATAATTATCTTGACTGATGCTATAGATTGACCTCTCCAATGTTGTATTTATGACACGAACTGAAGATAGACGCTGGCTACGTAAAGCCATTCGTTGTGCCCTAAACTATACAGGCCAAACAGCCCCAAACCCCATTGTTGGTTGTGCAGTTGTTAAACAAGACAAGCTTTTAGGATTAGGTGCTCATCAAGGGGCTGGCACCCCCCATGCAGAGGTTCATGCGTTACAAGCGGCTGGTAGCCAAACACGAGGTGCAACTGCTTATGTTACCTTAGAGCCTTGTAACCACTATGGAAAAACACCACCTTGTACAGAAACTCTTATTAACGCTGGGATTCAACGTGTCGTTATTGGTACGTTAGATCCAAATCCGCAAGTTCATGGCCAAGGCGTAAAACGTTTACGATCTGCAGGTATTCAGGTTGATGTCGGTGTTTTAGAAAAAGCTTGTCAAGATTTAATTCGTGATTTTAACGTTTGGCTAACCTCAAAACGTCCTTTTGTCATCTATAAAGCAGCAACAACGTGGGATGGTGCAACAGCCAGTGCTCAGATGGGTAAAGAAGCTATTAGCGGACCTGCGAGTCAAAAACGTGTTCATAAATTGCGGACAACCGTTGATGCTGTTCTTATTGGCGCAAATACATTTAAAAGAGATAACCCTGATCTACGTCCAAGGCTTGTACGCCATAAGAAAAAAATGCTACGGCGTGTTGTTGTAACGTCCGAATTACCTAAAGCTTCAGGAAATTTATGTAGTCAAGAACCAGAATCTGTACTTTGGCTTTGCGGCAAAACGTCGATAGAGCATCGTCATAGTTGGGAGCAGGTCGGTTCAACTGTTATATGCTTTGAGCAATTACCAACACCCCAACTTGTTGTCTCAACATTATTTGACTTAGGTGTTTATCGTTTACTTCTTGAAGGTGGATCTACCCTTGCCAAGTCTTTTTTGGAGGCACGACTCATTGACTGGCTTATCTGCATTCATGGGCCAAAACTAGCTGGAGGCAATCCAGGGGTACCTTTATTTTCTGGGGCACCACAGGCGCCGCTCACAAGAGCTATTACTTACCAATTAAGTCGTACTTACCGTATTGGTAATGACCTCTGGGCTGAGGGTTTGATCGATTATTAAGCAGGTAACGGTGATTGAACTTGCTGATGTCCAAAGATCCCCGGTAATGGGTGTTGCGTTCCTCGTTCTTCTAAATAACGAAATACATCTTTATTACCCTCTGAGACTAATGCTAACCTTAAGACCTGATCCATATCTTCAACAAGATGAATAGTCAACATTTCCTGTATATACTCAGGAATATCTGTTAATTCACTTTCGGTCTCTTTAGGAATAACGATTTCGTAAATACCTCCTCGATAAGCTGCTAATATCTTTTCTTTTAAGCCTCCTACCGGCAAAATACGCCCTCGTAATGTAATTTCTCCAGTCATAGCAAGATTGCCACGTACAGGAAGATGAGTTAATGCCGAGACTAGAGCTGTTGCCATCGTAATACCAGCACTGGGTCCGTCCTTTGGAACTGCTCCTTCTGGGACATGGATATGGATATCAACCTGTTTGTAAAACAGTGGATCAATGTTTAGTTGTTCAGCTCGGCTACGAACATAACTCATGGCAGCTCGCGCACTTTCGCACATGACATCTCCAAGCTTACCTGTAATCTCAAGTTGTCCACTCCCAGGTAATACTGAGACTTCTGTAACTAATTGTTGGCCACCAACTTCAGTCCAAGCAAGACCTTGTGTTACACCGATGCGGTTTTGTTTTTCTTTTTTGGGTTCAGGAAACTTTTCTGGTCCGAGGTACCCAGAAACAGCCTTGGGTGTAACCCGAACAATGGCTCCAGATTTTAAGGTACCTTTCGCAAGTTTCACGGCAATTTTACGAGCAATTGCCCCAATCCTCTGTTCGAGTCTACGTACACCAGCTTCTCTCGTATAACGGTGAATTAGTTTTAGTACTGCCTGACGTTGAAATTGAACTTGTATTTTATCTAAACCATTGCGTTCAAGTTGTTTTGGAATAAGATGTTTTAAGGCTATTTCAACTTTCTCATCATCGGTATAACTACCAATTTCAATAATCTCTAACCGATCCTGTAATGGGTTATGAATGGTATGTAGTGTATTAGCAGTCGTTACAAAAAATACATTACTAAGATCCAGTTCTAAATCTAAATAATGATCAATAAATGTATCGTTTTGTTCAGGGTCTAAAACTTCCAGTAATGCAGAGCCTGGATCTCCACGAAAATCTTGAGCAAGTTTATCTATTTCATCTAATAGAAATACAGGATTACAAGTTTTAACTTTTTTTAATCCCTGAACAATACGGCCTGGCATTGCACCAATATATGTACGTCGGTGTCCACGAATTTCGGCTTCGTCCCTGACACCTCCTAATGACTGTCGAACAAATTCAAGCCCTAAGGCATGGGCAATACTACGTGCTAAACTCGTTTTACCAACACCAGGGGGCCCAACAAGACATAGTTTAGGGCCTTTCAATGATGCGGTAAGAGAACGGACAGCCAAAAATTCAATAATCCGGTCCTTTACTTGATCAAGACCATAGTGATCTTGATCAAGTACACATCGGACTTGTTCTAAATTAATATCTAATACACGTTCTTCTGTCCAAGGTATTGCGAGGATCCAATCAAGATAGTTTCGAATAACAGCTGCTTCAGCAGATGTTGACGTCATTAATTTTAGTTTCTTGAGTTCCTGCTTTGCACGTTCTTCAACATGTTCTGGCAGTTTTTTTTGTACTATTCTTTCTTCCAGTTCTTCAAATTCTGATTTGCCTTGATCACCATCAGCTAACTCACCACGAATAGCTTTCATTTGTTCGTTTAAGTAATATTCACGTTGATTACGTTCCATTTGTTCCTTGATACGCTCTTGAACTTTCTGTTCAACAGCAGCAGCATCTAAACAATCTTGTAATACCCGCGTTAATTCCTTAAGGCGTAGATCAACATCGGCAATTTCTAATAAAAATTGTCGTTCTTCTAAATTTAACTCTAATGCTGCAGCAATAAGATCCGCGACACTACTAGCACTCGACGCATCAGAAATAGCAGCTGTTGTTTCTTTGGAAATGTTACGATCCTGTCCAGCATACCGATGAAAGAGATCTATAATATGTGTCCGTAATCGAGTTGTCTCTGGTGTTTCTCTAGATGGGCTCTTATATACTGATGCAGTAACGGTAAACAATTTCCCTGTCAAGGAAAATTCTTCAAGACGCATGCGCGTCTCACCCTCAATTAATAATTTGAGCATTCCTTCAGGAAGCCGTGAGACTTGATGGATATACGCTAAGGTACCTATCGTATAAATATCTTCTGAGGTAGGATCAACAATCTGTGGATCCTTCTGAGTACATAAAAAGATACGCTTGTCATCTTCAAGAGCTAGCTCAATAGCAGAAATTGATTTAGGACGGCCAACAAAAAGGGGGACAAGCATCTCAGGAAAGACTACCATATCACGTAGCGGCAATAAGGGAAGGTCTTTGCGTCTAGAAGTTGGCACAATCTGTCTTTCTTGAAAAAAAGTTAATGCTACTATTTTAGGCTGTTTCTGCCTGGTTTTCGTAAATACTTATTGGATCTTTTTGGTTCAACACAACATCGTCAGTAATCACTATTTCTTTGAGGCCTTGTTGTGTTGGGATATCATACATAATATCCAACATCATTTTTTCCATAATTGCCCGTAGTCCTCGTGCCCCACTTTTACGCTCTATTGCAAGATTTGAAATTGCTTCAAGAGCTTCCTGTGTAAAAGACAAGTCGACATTTTCCAATTCAAATAGTTTGGCATATTGTTTAATAAGAGCATTTTTAGGCTCTTGCAGAATTTTCATAAGAGCTTCTTTGTCTAATTCGTTTAGAGCTGCAATAACTGGAATGCGTCCAATAAATTCTGGAATTAAACCAAACTGGATTAAATCTTCAGGTTGAACATCACAAAATAATGTGTTGAGATCGTGTGTACTTTTACTACGTAAGTCTGCATTAAACCCAATACCTTGACGCCCTACACGACGTTCAATAACACGTTCTAAATCGACAAAAGCACCACCACAAATAAATAAAATATCTGTTGTGTCCATTTGTAAAAATTCTTGCTGTGGATGCTTTCGGCCTCCTTTTGGTGGAACACTTGCAATAGTTCCTTCGAGAATTTTAAGTAATGCCTGCTGGACGCCTTCACCAGAGACATCTCGTGTAATTGAAGGGCTATCTCCTTTACGAGCTACTTTATCAATCTCATCGATATAAACAATACCTTTCTGAGCACGTTCTAAGTCAAACTCAGCTGCTTGTAAAAGATTTAGTAAAATATTCTCGACATCTTCACCTACATAACCTGCTTCTGTTAGTGTTGTCGCATCAGCTATGGTAAAAGGAACATCCAAAAAACGTGCTAAACTCTGCGCTAATAGCGTTTTACCTGATCCTGTAGGGCCAAGAAGCATAATATTAGATTTTTGAATTTCAACACCACTAAGCTGGCCTTTGTGCTGAACACGCTTATAGTGATTATGTACTGCCACCGCTAATGTTTTTTTAGCATCATCTTGTCCTATTACATACTGATCTAAATACTCTTTAATTTCTTGAGGCTTTGGGATATCAGAATTTGCTTTTTTTGTCTGAGTATCTTGATTATAATCTTCGGCAAGAATATCATTACATAGTTCAATACATTCGTTGCAAATGTAGACATTAGGTCCCGCTATAAGTTTTAAGACTTCTCGTTGATCCTTACCACAAAAGCTACACCGTAAACGTCCTGATTCGTGGTATCGACTCATGAAGATTTCTCCTTAGGAGAAGCCTCTTGTTCGATCTCTCCGCGCTTTGTTGCTACAACGTCAACAATACCATATGCTTTTGCTTCTTCAGCACTCATAAAATGATCACGTTCTGTATCCTGCTCAATTTTTTTAATCGGCTGTCCTGTGTGTTCACTTAATAATTTATTTAATTCCTGACGGATACGAAGTATTTCTTTTGCATGAATTTCAATATCGACAGCCTGACCTTGTACACCACCTAACGGTTGATGAATCATAATACGACTATTGGATAGTGCATATCTCTTCCCAGCATCTCCAGCAGCTAGTAGCACTGCTCCCATACTAGCTGCTTGTCCAAAACAAATTGTGACAATAGGACAACGGATATATTGTAAGGTGTCATAAATGGCCATTCCTGCCGTGACAGAGCCACCGGGACTATTAATGTATAAAGAAACAGCTTGGTCAGGGTCTTCACTTTCTAAATGGAGTAATTGTGCAACCACAAGATTGGCAACGGTATCGTCAATTGCTGTACCGAGAAAAATAATCCTCTCTTTAAGCAAACGGCTAAAAATATCATAGGCACGCTCACCTCTCCCTGTACGTTCGACAACCATTGGGATAAGTTGTGATATTGGTAAATTTTGTGTTAGCAGCTCACTCATTAACTAGACCTTCTATAGTTATAGTTTTATGATTTATCAGCAGTATCTTCTAAATACTTTTGGTATTCTTCGGGGGTAACATCTTTGATAGTTGCATGATCGATAAGAAACTCTAATGATTTTTGATTTCTAAGTTGGGTTCGAATATGCTCATAGCTTCCTTTTTCTTTAGCCTCTTCAACCAATAGCTTTGACTCTTTCCCTTGCATTTGAGCAATACGTTCAATTTCAGCATCAACTTCTTGATTTTCGATTTCAATTTTTTCTTCTGTAGCAATTGCCCCTAGTACAAATTCTAGCTGTATATCTTGTTCAGCTTTTGATGCTGTATCTGCAAAAATCATGGGCAACATATCTTTTACTGCTTTTTGAGGATAACCTTGCTGCATCAAGTCAGCTGCAACATTTTGAGATAGGGATTTCTGACGCTGCTCGACAATGCCTTCAGGTAATTCAAATGAATGTTTTTTAATTAGATCTTCGGCAATCTGTTGTTCAACTGCTTGTTGACTTTCACGTTCATAGTTTTTATTTAAGTCTGTTTCAATTCGTTCACGTAAACTTACAACTGTCGAATCAGGGATCATAGATGAAGCAAAAGCGTCATCGACTTCAGGTAATTCTTGTTTATCCAATTTATGTAATTCAAACTTAAATGTTACTGTTTTGTTTTTAAGCGCTTCACTAGGTGCATCATCTTCAGCAAAAGAAATATCAAATTCATGCTGCATTGGCACTGTAAGCCCACTTAACTCAGCTTCAATTTTAGGATGTAATGCTCCACTACCTAGTTGGACAATATGATGTTCAACTTCGCCATCTGGAATAATCTCATTATTCTCAAAGGCTTGATAGCTAACATCGACTTTATCACCTACGGCAACTGTTTCATTTTCTTGAGCATCGCGAAATGAAGCTTGGCGAAGACGTAACTCTTCGAGAACTTGGTCAATATCTTCAGGTTTAGCTGTTCGAACAGGCCGTTTTATTGCTATTTTTTTATAGTCTTTGAGCTTTACTTCTGGGGGAATTTCAACAATAGCTTTATAGCGAAAAGGCTCAGCGGTATCAACTGTCTCTGGATGGACTTGACGAATATTTAAAATTGTACCTTCATAGGTTTCAACAGCATCTTGTAGTGTCTCACGCACTAACTGTTCACGTAACGTCTGTTCAATATGATCTTTATAACTTCGCTCGATAACTTTAACCGGCGCCTTTCCTTGACGAAAACCAGGGATTTTAGCCTGATGGCGTAATTCTGAAATGACACGATGATGTGCTTTAGATACTTGTTCCACAGCAACTTCAATATTGAGTGTACGTGTAACAGGACTTGTTTCTTCTACGGTAATGTTGAGTGCAGATGTCGACAATATACTGATCCTTTCTTAAAAAAGATTATACCTTGCGTTACCTAGCCATTTCCACTCTAAGGTTTCTGATTATTTATTAGGCTAAGATACAGCAAGTATACAATTTAATTTTTGTGATTTTTTACTATCAATAGCAATAACGCTTAAAATCTTAAATGAATTCATTGCTAAGACGCTATTGAGATGAGCTCTCTTTAACCAGAAGATAGCGGTCTGGATTCACAGGGACACCAGCTACATGTACTTCGTAATGCAAATGTGGACCTGTCGAACGTCCGGTACTACCAACACGTCCAATTAGGGATCCACGACTAACTAACTGCCCAACTTTGACGTCAATCTGATTCAGGTGCCCATAACGTGAAATGACACCATAACCATGGTCAATAACAATAAAGTTGCCATAGGCTCCCTTAACACCAGCAAACAGGATAACACCGTCAGCAGAGGCAACAACAGGGTTATTCATCCTTGTAGCAATATCTAGTCCCTGATGTAACTTTTTACGGCCAGTAAATGGATCTATACGATATCCAAAACCACTGGTTAACCATCCACGTGTTGGCCAGATACTTGGTGTACTCGATAAACGGGCTGCTTGGTTTGTCATTAGGGCGTCTAAATCATAGAGACGCTGTTCTTGGGTACTGGAATGCTTAACAACATCATCAATTTTCACATCAAGACGAGCAAATGTTAAGCGGTTTTGTTCATCTAAAAGTGAATCAAATTGATTAAGACTATCAGAACTCTGTGGTCCACCTATCCCCATTAGACTATCATCAAGGTCGTTGCTATGGCCTAAAACGACACGTAGTTTACGATCCATACGTCCAATACGCTCTAATGTTTCTTCTGCTTCTTCTAAACGTCCAGACATTTCTGTTAGATATAACTGTTGTGTCATCAATTGCTCTTCAAAATGCCAACGTTCTGGTAATTTAGCCAAATTATAAATGCTATATGCAGCTGCCAGACCACTGATAAAGACAAAAGAAATCGCAAGAATGAATAACTGTTTAAGACGTTTATAAGAGATACGAAGACGTTGGACTTTACCGTTATCCTCGGGCACAAGAATCAGTGTATATCCAGAATTAGATGTACTCATAGCAGGTTTTTCATTTTACAATTACTGCCAAGCTTAATTGTTTACAGAGTAGTCGCAAGCTCACCTTGACTCTGTCTAACATGTGTTCACAATTATCTTATAACTAAAGGTAGACCTGATCACTTGACTCTGAATTTTACCACCTATTGGCATAGGATCAAAATGACATCTTTATAACTATATTTTCTATAACATGCTTACTAAAAACTTTACTTCTCGATAGCAATAAGAACAACCGTAATATTATCCTCACCTCCACGTTGGTTTGCTTCTAATATCAGTGTTTCTACTGTCTTTTGTAATGAACTATTTTTCATTACTCCGAGTATTTTTTCTTGTAACTCTTGATCATTGATTTTTCCAGTTAATCCATCGGTCACAAGTAATAATATGTCACCTTTCTGTATTTTTTTTGGGGTTGTATCAACAACAATTGTCTGTGCAAAACCTATAGAACGGGTGACAACATTACGCATTGGATGTTTAGCTGCATCTAACTCTGTAAGTAAACCTATATCTATTTGATCTTGTACCCAACTATGATCACGCGTTAATCGTTGTAACTTTTTCTCTCTTAACAAATAACAGCGACTGTCTCCAACATGTGCTATTGCTATCTGCATATAGTCAATATTAATCCATAATGCTGTTAATGTTGTTCCCATCCCCTGGAGATGTCCTCTTAAAAGGCTTTCTTGAAATACCATCTCGTTTGCAGCATTGACAGCAGTTGAAAGTTGCTGTTCTTTTGATATATTGGTAGCTTTTTGGCCAAATGTGTTTCTTAATGTATCTAAAGCAAGCTGACTAGCAATATCTCCTGCTTGGTGCCCTCCCATACCATCGGCAACCGCAAATAGCATTAATTCCTGATCAATCAAATATGTATCTTCATTGCGCTGGCGGACTTTACCTATATCAGTATGTCCTGCTACTTCAATTTTTTTCATCTATCTTATTGCCTTGCTTCGGTAAGCAGTGTACGTGCGTGTTCGATCGCTGTTGCAGTATCACGAAAACCAAGCATTCCAGCAAGTTCTTCGACACGTTCTTCTGGCTCAAGAATTCTAGAGACTGTTAAAGACCGCCCAGCCTGTATTTGCTTTTCGATATGAATTTGTTGATGTGCATGTGCTGCAACTTGAGGAACATGTGTAACAGCAAGTACTTGATTTAGTTGACCTAAAGCTTGCATACGAGCTCCTACAGTCATTGCAGTTTGCCCACCAATACCAGCATCCACTTCATCAAAAACAACTGTACTATTACCGTATGCGGCCCCTATTGCCGTTTGAATTGCAAGCAAAATACGACTTAATTCACCACCACTAGCAATTCGTTTTAATGGTTTTGCTACTTCTTCTGGATTCGCAGAAAATGTAAATGCGACTTGATCAATACCAAATTGTGATGGTTCGCCAATACCCCAACCAGTCATCGAAAAGATTGCATGGGGCATTTCTAATAGTTTAAGGTCTGATGTCACTTTCTTAGCTAAACGCTCAGCAGCCTCTTGCCGATGCTGGCTTAATTGTTGTGCAACTTGGAAAAAGTCTGTTTCGTCTCTTTGGGCTTGTTGACGCAACACCATTAATTCCTGATCTATATTTTCTAAGACCATTATACGGTCGTATATATCTTTTTGAGCTTTGAAAAGTGTATTTAGATCTCCTCCATGTTTATTGATGAGACGCTCTAAGTGTTGTTTTCTTTCTTGCAAAGCCTCAATATCCTGTAGCTCTGTATCTGTATAAATTTGAGATAAACGACGATAAACTGTCTGTATTTCTAGCGAATACGCATCTAAAGAATCGGCAAACTCTTGTAATGTTTGATTATATGGGGCAGCTTGACGAAGTGCTTGGATAACAGAAAAGAGTCGTTCAATTGCTGAATATTCACCGTCATTGAGGTAGGTTGCTGCAGTATGAATTGCAGTTATAACTTCGGCCTGTCCTTGAATTTTTTTTAAGTGTTCGTCAAGCTCTTGTAATTCATTTGGTTTGGGTTCGACACGTTCTATTTCATCAAGTTGGTAGCGTAAATAGTCTAATTCTTGCTCTCTATTGTTTGAAGCTGCTTCTAAATTTTTTATCTGTTCTACAGTCTTCTGCCAAGACTTAAATGCTGTTGCTACCTTCTCTGTGAGTATCTCATGCTCACCATATTTATCTAATAAAATACGCTGTAATTCTGGACTTAGTAGACGTTGTTGGCTGTCCTGTCCATGTACATCTAGCTCTGGAGCAATATATTCACGTAATGTTGTAGCATTTGCCATATGGCCGTTAATATAAATACGGTGTTTTCCATTTGCTTTGATTAACCGACGTATAACCCAATCCTCTCCATCGCCATACCCTTGCTCCATTAGTGCAGAGCAAGATTTCTTAGAGCTAAGAGATAATCTTGCTTCAACACACGCCTGTTTCGAACCAGCACGAAGACTATCTAGATTAACTCGTGCACCTGCGATCAAACCTAAGGCCTGGATTAATAAACTTTTACCAACACCAGTCTCCCCAGTTAATACTGTAAACCCTGATGAAAATTGGATATCAAGGGATTCAATAACAGCAATATTTTCAATATGAATTTCGTGAATCATAGCAAAAATAGGTTAACGATGGATACCTGGGTGACCCCATCCTAATTTTTGAGTCAAAATCTCAAAAAACCGACGATCTTGCCCTGAAACTAACCATAATGGTTTTGGGGCCTGTTCAACCCGAATCACACCACCTTTAGGCACGTGGTAACCTACTTGACCATCAAGCGTGATTAAACAGTCTTCTGCTGACTCTTTAATGCAAACCTCAATTGTATTTTTAGGAGCAACAACGAGAGGGCGAAAATTTAATTGATGTGGACAAATAGGTGTAATAGCAAGTACATCTGTAGCTGGCTGAATAATAGGCCCTCCTGCAGATAAATTATATGCGGTACTGCCAACAGGAGTTGATAGAATTAGGCCATCTGCCCGGAAATGGGCCACTGGTTTTGAAGCAATCATTAGTTGCATCTCAATCATACGGGCTAAAGCAGATTTATTTAATACAATATCATTGAGTGCCCAGCCCTGTAGCTCACCATTTAAGGTACACGTTACCATCATGCGTGGTTCTATTGTCATCTGCCCGGAAAGTAGATTTTGCAGTGCTGCTTCCCATTCATTACGTTCGTATTCAGCTAAAAAGCCTAGTGTGCCAAGGTTAATTCCTAAAACAGGCTTACCAAGTGGTGCTGCCAACCGTGCCGCAGAAAGAAACGTTCCATCTCCTCCTAAAACAAGCACAAGGTCGCTTGTCTGCATAATTTTCTGTGCCTCAACATCATCATCGCGAGAGATTACAGAAGCAATAACATTATGTGTTTCAAGAGTGCGAACGACAGCTAAAATCCAATCATCAATAACTGAAAATCGCTTTGGATAAATAGCAATTGAACGGATATCAGAAATGGTTTTTATCTGATTCATGATTTGTGCTTTTTATTGTCTTTTGTTTTCCGTCGATTAGCAAAAAAAGATGTTAATAGGCTAGCTGATTCTTGCTGACAAATACCACCGGTAACTTGAGGTTGATGATTCCAGGCATAGTCAAAACTATTTAACATTGATTCTACGGCACCAAATTTTAAATCTGTGGCACCATAAACAATACGATCTACGCGTGACTGTATTACAGCACCAGCACACATTAGACAGGGTTCAAGTGTTACATAGAGTATACAACCTCGCAAACGCCAATTTTTCAGATATTGTGCAGCCTCCCGTAACGCAAGAATCTCTGCATGCGCTGTAGGATCCCCTGCCTCTTTACGATTAAAAGCACGGGCAATTAAAGTAGACTTATGGACCACAACGGCACCAACAGGAACTTCCCCTAGATCCTTGGCCTCATGTGCAGCAAGTAGAGCCTGCTGCATCCAATATCTATCATCCTTGTTAAGCATTTATGTTAAAACTGAGCTCCATTTGTAATCCAGGCTTCAATAACCTGACCAACTTGGCTCAGACTTGATGCCGTAACTTTATCCACCGTATCTTCAGTTGTATGCCAGTAAGGATATTCAAAATCAATAAGAATGGCTGCCGGTATACCTTGCCTAAGAAATGGGACATGGTCATCCAAAATTCGATAGCGATAGTTCGCTTGAAAGGCAGAGATTTTAAGTTTTTTTGCTTGTTGCCAAGGTGCAGTTTCTAAAGAAGCTGTTGCGCCAAAATCACGATAAATCTGTAAATCTCGATCACCAACCATGTCAACTACAACAACAGCATTTGGCCGATCACAGTCTGTAATAAAACCAGGATTTTCGACATAGTAAGAACTACCAAGAATCCACTGCCATCCATCAATATTGCCGTTATCCTCGGCATCAAAAAAAGCTAGACAAATTCGTAAATCCAATTCTTCAGGCTTTAGAATACGTGCTAATTCTAATAAGACGGCCACACCAGAAGCACCATCATTTGCCCCAATACCGGGATTTTGGCGCTGTGTTGTGTCTTGATCTTCATCTGAGATTAAACGTGTATCGTAATGAGCACCAAGGAGTACTGTACGCCCTTCTCCGCGTGTCGCAATAATATTTTCGCTAACTGTATTTTTCGGGGATTGAAATTGTTGACGGGAAACTGCCCAATGATTATCTTGCAATTGCGTTGTCAACCATTGGCGTAGTTTTTTATTAGCGTTACTACCTGTAGGCCTTGGCCCAAAAGCAGCTTGCTGTTTAACATATTCGTACGCTTTCTCTCCTGAGAATAAAGGAGTTATTTCTTGCTGAGCTATTTCTTGTTGTTGCTGTGTTGTCTTTTGATGTGTATCACAGGCAACATATAGATAGCAGCACGCAACTATAAACAAATAGTAACGCATATTATACTTTAGGTTCCAGCAGGAATATGATAAATTGAGCGAATTTTTGTATCGACCGCATTAACTTTTTGTTGATCTAAAACGATACGTTGATCATTCTCTAAGTCAAAGGTTAAATAAGGTTTAGTACGATCTTCAAAAAGAGCCTGACGTAGACCTGCCAGTGATTTAATATGTCGACCGTTTAGTGCTAATACACGAGAAAAGCGTACGCTATGTCGATAGCCTTTATTAATGATGGCATCATAGACAGCAGAAATAACAACAACTTCTTCTATATCTTCTTGCCCAAAAGGCATTGACCAATAGGGTAAGAGTGTCATTGGGAACCCTTTAGAACGTGGCGTTCCAACTAATCTTGGTTCCACTGCCTGAAACACAAAACCACCTTTAAAAAGGTAGTCTGGTTGTTGATCATACTTTGGCATATGAGGTATAACAGAAAACCGGTAGGGTTTTAAGGGTAGAGATATTTTTTTGAGTTTGCCAGCTCGTGCAATGGTTAATGTTACGGTATCACCAATATTTTTTGGATAGATATAAAACCCAATACCGATTTTAGTCCCACCAGAAAATAAAACACGTCCATCGTTAAAAATTTTCTTTCCTTCAATTGCTAATAGGACATCATCTGGTTTTAGCTTCCCATCTGCGGAACTACCTTGTGCAATCTGTCTAACCCGTACACCTGTTTGTTTTGGGTCAAGTTTTAGATAGGCTCTTAACGCGTCATTTTCCAAGTTTTGTAAACTAACACCTAAATTAGGTATACCTGCAATATGACGATCTGCTGCATCAGTTAAAAACTGTTTTATCATAGGAGTTGGCACAAAAAAACCCTGAGCTTCTGCATAGGTATTTTTTTGTGTTGCAACGCCAATACACTTGCCACTCTGCTCTGCAAAGACAGGCCCACCAGAGTTACCTGGATTAATCGCAGCATCGGTTTGTACTAAGAGTGCTGGCAAATTGCTATGGGCAAAAGTCATTACATCAATACGAGAAACAACACCTTCAGTATAAGAGACCTGGCGACCTCCTGTAGGAAAGCCAATCGTAACAACTTTATCACGGTGTTTAGGCAAGGCCCCTAAACGAATTGGTTTTATCTTATTGGCAATTTCTGTATCTGTTAACTGCACTAAGGCTAAGTCGATCTGATGATTGACTGCGATAACTTGAGCTTCTTGTTTTTGGGGATAACCTTGAATATCAACTTGAATAAAGGTAGCATCAGCAATACAGTGGGCATTGGTCAAAATACCTTGCTCAATAAAAAAACCGGAACAGGTTACTGAACGTGTCGCTGTTTTGGTCCAGGGCTGTGATAAATTCCAACGTTGATTTGTAACATAGAGTTTTACAACTGCTTGACTTTGCGTTTTCAGACCACCTCTGGCGGCAGCAGACTCTGATGGACTCAGATTGCTTAGCCAAAAGACACAGATAATAAGACAAATAAAATAATGAAGCTTCACAACGCCAAGTCCTTTTTTTGTTTGCTGCTATTTTTTAAATATTATGGACTATTATCATACCGCAGAAATGTCCAAAATAGTCTGAGCACTTAACAGATAGGTATGTATATATTTTCGAGATTTATGCTTAACCTAAGACAACCTTAGAGGACTTAATTTAAAACGAACTCCGTTAGTTCAGACAGCGTAAGAAACTGAACAGGGTAAGTGTCTCTAATATCGATGAGAGCTCGCTTGAGCCCTTTCCAATATGCACCCTGGTTAAATAGAGAAAAATGATGACTTATAAATAGAGGCATGTTTAATTTGAATGATGCTGCTGCTTGCTCCATATATAAATCATAGACCTTTTGTTCTATTTGTAATAGCGTTCTGTCTTGGTGTTTATGCTTGTCCTCATCATATAAGTTATAGTCCATTAAGATTGTTTTATAGCCTTGACTTGTAATAAAAGGAATCGGATATGTTACAAAAACAGCTTTAGCTCCCGTTTGGTCCTGTTTTCTATGATAAATTTTAAAGGCTTTACCTCTCACTGCGTCTGTCTGAGGGTCATCACGGTAGTCATATGTTGACATAATTGCCTGATATCCCTGTGCTATCAGGACAGAATAGACATTTTTGTTGTAGTCAAGTAACGGGAAATGGATACTTTTTACTGCTGTAGTTAAAAATGGCTGTGTAAATTTTTTAAATTGTTCTATTTCTAATTTCCAGGCTGCGGTATCCCAATGAGATGCATCAAAATGACCATTTAAATGACTACCTATTTCATGTCCTGCTTTTAAAGCTTTTTGTACATATTTAATACGTTTAGAAATATCCTGCTTTGTACCACCAAAACCAATATCAGAGAGACCCGATTTTTTAGGATTTGGTGGATAGAGATAACTTGATTTTTGCGCATCAGGAATAAAATAGACACCACTAATAAAAAATGTAAACTTAGCATTTAGCTGGGTTCCTAAAGCAAGAATATCTGCCCAGCGATCTAGAGCTTTACTTCCGTCAAAAGACGTCACAATAAATAAAGATTTTTGTGCTGTTTGTTGTTTATTTAGGACATCGGCATAAAGGACCTTTTTGGTTTCATAATTATTAGCTTCAACTTGCTCTACATTTAGAGCCAATAAAAAACCAAAAAGGCAACAAAAATGCGTTAGATAACAACGTGTTTCTGTTAACGATAAACAGCCCATAAAAGGTTATAATTGTCTATCTTGGAAGCAGGGCTATACGTTCGTTCCACTTATTTGTCAGTTAATTGATCTGTAAGTTCCGAAACAGTAAGGAACTTTATTTGATATTTTTTCTTAATATCAATGAGAGCTCGCTTGAGCCCTTTCCAGTACGCTCCATGGTTAAATAGAGAAAAATGGTGACTCATAAATAAAGGCATTTTTAATTTAAAAGATTCTGCGGCCTCATCCATATATAAGCGATAGACTTTATCTTCTATTTCCCCGAGTGTCCAACCTTGATGTTTATGCTTATCCTCATAATAAAAATTGTAATCCATCAAGATCGTCTTATAACCTTGATCCATAACATATGGTATTGGATAAGCTAACAAATATTTCCCGTTTGGAAAGGTATATGTTCGGAAATCAGATTCACGATTATCGTTAGTAGACAAAATGGCATTATAACCATTTTGAATTAGGACCGGGTATGCTTTTTCGTTGTAAGCAAGCAACGGGAAACGGATACTTTTAACTGCTGTAGTCAAAAATGGCTGTGTAAATTTTTTAAATTGCTCTATCTCTAATTTCCAAGCTGCGGTATCCAAATGAGATGCATCAAAATGACCATTTAGATGGCTACCTATTTCGTGGCCAGCCTTTAAAGCTTTTTGTACATATTTGATACGTTTAGAAATATCCTGCTTTGTGCCACCAAAACCTAAATTAGAAACCCCTGTCCTTTTTGGGTCTGTTGGATAAATATAACTTGATTTTTGCGTATCAGGAATAAAATAGACACCACTAATAAAAAAGGTAAACTTAGCATCTAGCTGGTTTCCTACAGCTAAAATATCTGCCCAGCGATCTAAATCTTTACTACCGTCAAAAGAAACAACAACAAGTAATTTATCTTGGTCTATTTTATTGTTGGCAATGACTGTTTTATACGATGTTAATGTTGTCTGAAACGTCATTGGTTCGGCATAACTTGGTGTTTGTCGTACACAAAAGATACAGACAATAATCAATGCTTTAATCGTAGATTTTAGACTAGGCATATACTTCTTCTCCCGATTACTGAAATTAGTACTATTACTCAAAATTGAATCACTGGATTGCTATCGTAACAGAATACAGTTAAAAATCAAGATACATTTTCTAAGTCTTTAGGATCAGTACCTGTATTATTGTATTGAGCTATACGAACAATATATTTGCAATAAATAACCGTTACTTATGAATTACACGGCCAGCAACATCTAATGCTGCTTCTTTGATTGTTTCTGAAAATGTGGGATGAGCATGGCACGTACGCGCAATATCTTCTGCGCTACCACCAAACTCCATTACGATTGTTGCTTCAGCAATGAGGTCAGAGGCTCGTGCTCCTAAAATATGTACTCCTATAATCCGATCAGTTTTTTTGTCGGTTATGATTTTGACAAGGCCATCGCAATCATCTGCAGCCCGGGCACGCCCGTTCGCCATAAAAGGAAAACGACCACTAGCAATCTCCTCATAGTCTTCTAACGCCTGCTCTTCGGTTAAGCCTACACTAGCAAGCTCTGGCCAGGTATAAACGACAGAGGGTATAGCCTGATAATTGACTTGGCTGACTTGGCCAGCAATTATCTCGGCACAAGCCAGGCCTTCCTCTTCTGCTTTATGAGCTAGCATTGGACCAGAAACAACATCACCTATCGCATAAATACCTGGAACTGTTGTCTGAAACTGATCGTTGACGTTAATACATCCACGCTCGTCACAGATAACACCAATATCTTCTAGCCCCAAACCATCGGTATAAGGTTTACGCCCGACTGCAACAAGAATCCGATCTGCTGTTTCGGTTACTGTTTCACCTGATGCTAATGCAATTTCGATAGAAACATCTTTATCACCTACTGTTGCCGCTTTTACGCTAGCACCAAGCTTAAATTCAATCCCTTGTTTTTCTAAAACTTTCTGCAGTTGAGTAGAGAGTTCAACATCAGCACCAGCAACAATGCGCTCCATTGCTTCAACGACAAGTACTTGGCTACCAAGGCGTGACCATACAGAGCCTAATTCAAGACCAATAGGACCTGCTCCAATAACAATTAGGCGTGAAGGAACTGTTGAAAAAGAAAGGGCTTCCGTAGAACAAACTATTCGTTCTCCATCAAAAGGTAGAAAAGGAAGCTCTGCTGGTACAGAACCTGAAGCAACCAAAATAGAAGTAGTGTTTAAACGACTGGAAGTATCATTGAGTACCTCAACACAATTAGGAGAAATGATTTTTGCTGTTCCCTGCAATCGTTCAACTTTATTTTTTTTGAGTAAACTGGCTACGCCTCCGGTTAAAGTTTTTACCACTTTCTCTTTGCGTTTTAGCATTTTTTTGAGATCTAAAGAGATGTTATCGACAACAATGCCATGGGTACTAAATTTTTGTTTAGCTTGGGCATAGAGTTCACTTGAATCTAATAATGCTTTTGAAGGGATACACCCAACACGCAAACAAGTACCACCAAGATTTTTTTCTTTTTCAATGCAGGCAACTCGTAGTCCAAGCTGGGCTGCTCTAATAGCAGCAACATAACCTCCAGGTCCAGCACCAATGATAACTAAGTCATATGTTTTATCTGACATCTACAGCTCCACATTGTATTACTGCTCTATGTATTAAAAAATTATAATTTGGGTTTAAAGATTGAGTAACATACGTGCTGGTTCTTCTAAATACATTTTGATACGTACCAAAAACGAAACCGCTTGTTCTCCATCTATCACACGATGGTCATAGGAAAGAGCTAAATACATCATTGGACGTATCACAATTTCACCGTTGACAACAACAGGACGTTCTTCAATTTTATGCATCCCTAAAATTCCTGTTTGAGGTGGATTCAAAATTGGTGTTGAGAGTAAGGATCCATAAACACCGCCATTACTAATTGTAAAGGTACCACCGCTTAAATCATCTGGTGTAATTTTCCCATCTCGTGCCTTTTCAGCCAAGGTATTAATTGCTAATTCAAGCTCAGCAATGGATAAGGTATCAGCATTTTTAATAACAGGAACAACTAACCCGCGAGCTGTACCAACAGCAATACCTAAATGGACATGGTTGTAGTAGACCAAATCGGTACCATCTATCTGTGCGTTCACTTCACGTATTTCTTTTAAAGCTTGGATACAGGCTCGTCCAAAAAGAGACATAAACCCAAGCCGTACACCATAGCGTTGTTCAAATGTATCACGATAACGAGACCTCAATTCTTTTACCGCAGACATATCGACTTCATTAAATGTTGTCAAAATAGCTGCTTGCTGCTGAGCTTCCACAAGACGCTCTGCAATACGCTGCCTTAACTTTGTCATTGGAACACGCTGAACGTCTTCTGGCGTTGTCAAGAAAGATGATGGCGTCATTGCTGATAATGGTTTTTCAGTTTCTTCTAAATCAAGATTAATACCTTCAGGAGCGGTGTCTTTCTGTGACTCGAGATAAGCTAGTACGTCTCCTTTAGTTAGTCGACCTTTTGGACCTGTTCCAACAATAGACTCAGCGTTTAAGCCATTAGCCTGCAGTAAATGTCGTACAGCCGGACTATAGGATGTAGAAGAATCAGTTTGTACTGTATCATCTTCCAAGACATTGCTATCACTGCTTGTAACGTTGCTATTTCCTTCAACGTCAATAGATGTTGGAGCTGCTGCCTGAGAATCTACTGTACCTACACAGGTACCAACTTCTACTGTTTCTCCAGCCTCAATATCTATTTTTAAAACACCTGCTACCGGTGCGGTGATCTCCATCGCAGCTTTGTCTGTTTCAAGTTCAAGAACGACTTCATCAGCTTGAACATAATCACCATGTTGTTTTAACCAACAAGCAATTGATCCTTCAGCAACAGATTCACCTAGTGAGGGGATAATAATGTCTATAGACATACAATTTCTCCATTATTCTAATACTTTAGCCATACCCCAAGGGCTTAAACGAGCAGGACGTTGTTCGGACATTAGGAAAGCACTACGTAATAGGTCTTCCTCTTCTTTTTTATGAACGTTATAGTTCCCGCTTGCGGGACTAGCTGATTCGGGACGCCCAATATAACGTAATATTTGCGTTTCTCCCAATAAAGATGCTAAACGCTCTGCAACAAAATGCCAAGCACCTTGATTTCGAGGTTCTTCTTGTACCCAACAAACATCTTCAGCAGCTTCGTAACTAGCACAAAGAGCCATTAACTCTTCTGTAGGAAAAGGATACATTTGCTCTAACCGGATAAGAGCAACATCATCACGTCCTGCAGCTTCACGGTAACGTTGTAATGCATAGTATATTTTTCCTGAACATAAGACGATACGCTTGACACGACGTTTATCAGTTATCTCTATATCATCAATTACATTCTGAAAATCTGACTGTGTAAAGTCATCCAGTGATGAAATAGCCTGGGGATGTCTTAGTAAACTTTTAGGACTTAAAACAATTAATGGTTTACGAAATTGGCGCTTTACTTGTCTTCTTAAAACATGAAAAAATTGTGCAGGTGTTGTACAGTTGACAACTTGCATATTCTGCTCGGCACAAAGTTGTAAATAACGTTCTGGTCGTGCACTTGAATGTTCTGGACCTTGACCTTCACAACCATGAGGTAATAACAATACAATTCCATTACCACGACGCCACTTTGACTCGCTAGAAGCAATAAATTGATCTACAACTACCTGAGCGCCATTTGCAAAATCGCCAAATTGAGCTTCCCAGATAATTAACTGTTTTGGATTAACACTTGCAAAGCCATATTCAAATCCTAAAACACCTGCCTCATTCAAGGGGCTATTTAAGACCTCAAATGATGCTTGTTCAGAGGATATATGGTTGAGTGGAATATAGTGATTATTATCATTGGCATCATGTAAGACCGCATGACGATGTGAAAAGGTACCTCGAGCACTATCTTGCCCCGAAAGCCGGACGGGAATACCTTCAAGTAATAAAGACCCATAGGTTAGTAATTCACCTGCAGCCCAATTTAAAGATTGACCTTTTGTATACATTTTCTCAAGTTGCTGCAGAAATGTTGTAATACGCTTATGGGGTGTAAATTCTTCTGGAATTTTTATTAAAGCCTGTGTAATTTTTGTAATGGTCTCTGGATTAATACGGGTTATTGCTGTCCAATCTGTAGCCTCAGCAGACAGTCCTGCCCAGAGACCACCAAATGCCTGCATCTCTGTATTTGGCTGATACGTTTTAGCATCTTGATATGCTTTATCTAATTCTGTTTGAATTTCATTTTGCATATTATCGATTTCAGATGTACTCAAAACACCATCTGTAACTAATTTTTGACCATAAGATGATGTAATCGTTGGATGCTGTTTTATTTTTGAGTACACCTGAGGCTGAGTGTATGTAGGATCATCAAGCTCGTTATGACCATATCTGCGGTAGCAGATTAGATCGATAAAGACATCTTTACAAAAGCGTTGCCGGAACCCTGCTGCCAGACAAGCGACTTGGACAACAGCTTCTGGATCATCTGCATTGACATGAAAAACTGGTGCTTGAATAACTTTTGCAAGGTCAGAAGCATAAGGTGTAGAACGATATTCATCTGGATTTGTTGTAAATCCAATCTGGTTATTTACAATAATATGAATCGTTCCACCTGTTGAATATCCATCAATATCAGAAAACATTAATGTTTCGTAGACAATTCCTTGGCCAGCAAATGCAGCATCTCCATGTAGTAAGACAGGTACAACTTGGCGTCGTTCTTGATCTTGACTAGCATCTTGTTTCGCTCGCACCATACCTTGGACGATAGGATTAATAATTTCAAGATGGCTTGGGTTATAACAAAGAGATAAATGTAATTTGTTACCACTATTGGTGACATGGTCATGAGAATAACCAAGGTGATACTTGACGTCACCGGCACCCAACATATCAGCAGGAAAAAAGACGCCTTCAAACTCGGCTAACATTCTTGTATAAGGTTTACGAAGAAGATGTGTTAGGACATTAAGGCGGCCACGATGTGGCATACCTATAACGAGCTCTTTTGCTCCACCAATACTCACAACTTCAGTAATAGCATCTAGTAGGGGGACTAAGACCTCTGCACCTTCTAAACTAAACCGTTTTGCACCAACATATTTTTTATGGATAAATTGTTCAAAACTTTCTGCCTGGATAAGTCGCTTTAATAAGACTTGCTGCTGTTCTGCGTCAAGCCCAGGACGGTTATGACAAGGTTCCATTTGTTCTTGCAACCACTGTCGCTGTTCTTTATCACGAACACCGATAAACTCAACACCAATTGTATGACAATACGTATCACGTAGAGCAGAAATTAAATCATCTAATGTTGATTGGGGAGTCCCTCCAAAGGCACAAGACTCTAGCTCTTGTGCCAAGTCTGATTCTGTAAAACCAAATTCTGATAGATCTAATAAGGGGTGCTCTCGGGAGCTTGTTCCAAGTGGGTCTAGATTTGCAATCATATGCCCCAAATCTCTATATGTATGAATTAAATGAGAGACACTATTTGTTTGGTAATCATGGTCTACTGTTTTTTTGAATTCACGGGGTTGATTAGCAAAATCATATCCAGCAAAAATAGCTGCCCACGTTGCATCAACGCTGTTGGGGTCGTTCAAATACTGCTGATATAACGTATCGATTAATTCCGGACTTGTACGTGCAATTTCGTCAAACGGATTCATAAATTTCTTAACCCCTCAAATCGATCTTGAAATTCTTATTTTATTATCTTACTAGACTTCAAAAATGCAAAACTGTTTGTGTTACTATCCTTAACTTTAGCACTATTTTCTCGACCATCAACCATCCATAACCACAATGCTGTTAGTAGTAGGCCACCAGCTTCAAACACGGGCTCTCTTTCGTGCTGATGCGCTGGGGCAATTATTACACAGGCTATTGCTAATAGGCCATATAGCATCGCTATCCATCTTAATCGCTGTTGATTAAGATAATGGAATATCAACGTTCCCCACGCCAACCCAATAGGAAATAGATAAATCATAAACCAAATAAGGGCGTCAGGATCATTCAATTGTAATAAAGCAAACACCAATAATATGACGCTGCCTATAATACGTAACCTCATCTTTAGCGCTAAAGATCTATCTACTGTTAATATCGACGATCTTGTCAATAAATTTTAGCTTATTTTGTTTGAAGAATTTTATGCCACCTGATCGCGTTTGGCCATCTCTCCATCAAGAACTAAAAGAGCTGCTTTATCATCACCTGCTAGCTTTGCACGATCTAAAACCGTACGTGCGCTGCGTTCTTCTTCAACTTGTTCTTGGATAAACCATTGCATCATGACTTCAGTGGCATGATCTTGGTGCTTCACCGCCAATTCGTACAAATCATTAATCTGCTCTGTATTATCTTGCTCTGCTTGCAATGCTACTTCTAAGGCTTCAATGGCAGAGTTAAAACTTGCCTGAGGGGCCTTTATTTCTCGCAACTCAATTGAAGCATCTTGGTCTGCCATAAATTCTAAGAGTCGACGGGCATGTAACAATTCTTCTTGAGCTTGCTGTTGCATCCATTTTGAAAAACCTGTTAAGGCATAAACATCAAAATAGATCGCAATCGATAAATACATATACGCCGAATAGAGTTCATTATTAATTTGGTCATTAAGCGCTTTTTGGACACTGTCAGGAATCATATTACGGTGAATCTCCTTCAAAAAAAGTACTAAGAACTATCATACCAAGATAAACAGATATTGTAAGGGTTGTATCATTTATCTATAACTTGTACGGTGACATGGAGAGTTTTTTAGCATTTTTTATAGGCTTATAAAGGTCAAAATGTCTAACGAAGCACTACAAATCTCACCAACGCTCCCTGGTCGTATTCACCGTGCAGGGTTTTGCTGGATTAATGTTGGCGGTGTCATCTACGAACATGATCGTGTCATCTATACTGGAGGTATTAGTAGTGTTTGGTGGCGGAAACGTCGTCACTACTTTGACCTGACAGATGCCTTAGAGATTATTAAAGTTCATCAACCTGATGTATTTATCTTAGGTATCGGCTGGATGGGTATGCTTCGTGTTTCAGAGCACACGATTGCACAAGCACTTGCTAAAAATAATATTATGTTTTGGGCGCTACGAACTCCAGATGCTGTTCTAAAATATCAAACGTTTTTTGCCAAAGGTTATAATTGTGTCGCGGCACTTCATATGACATGCTAGAAACCTCATTAGATTTCACAAATTTCATACTAAATCCTAGATACTTATGTTTGCTAGATGCCTTTGGCTAATATCCGCTGGCCATAGCCATAAAGACATTTGATAACGTATGAACAATAATAGCTGGCAAAATCGAACCTGATAGATTCGTTAGCCAACCAAACCAAAGACTTGGGAAAAAAACTGTTAAGCGTTCTAAGCGCCCTGTCGTTAGATGTAGCAATGTAAAAGCGATAGATGTAACCAGATTCCCTTTTGTACAAATAATGCCAAAAAAAGACCAGGACTTTTGTTCGCTTAAACGTTCCGCTCGTGGCTGCAGCCAACCACGGAAAAATAATTCTTCAGGGATGGCAGCAAATAATAGTTCTGCTAAAAAACGTTCCAAAAATGGCTGTGGTGTGCCTGGCCAAACGCCCCAAAGGAGATAACGTGTCACAAGAAAAAAAATGGTAAAGAAAAAAACACTACTGATCAACGTTATAAAAAGACTATATTTACTAGGTAGCAAAATACCGACATCGACTAGTCGTAGGTTTCGTACAAGAATAAAAGGTATATAAATAAAGAGTATTGGGGCTAGATAAGGTCGAATTTCTTGTAAAAAAAAGAGATGTTCTGCACAAAAAATCACTAGAAATAAAAAACCTATTAGTAACCACCACTTGCCCCAAGAGTCTACTATAGAATTCTGTATTTTTTGTATATTGTCCGTTTCAAATTTCATCTGCATATTTTAACGCACACTGTCTATTGTCCTATTGCAAATACACAATCATTACGTAAAATATGATTTCAGCCTACTTAAAATTCTTAGAGAATATTCTGTATTCTGGATAGGGTAATTGTAATTTTTTTACGACCCTAATTTGCCAAGGTAGCTCAGCTGGTAGAGCAGCTCACTCGTAATGAGCAGGTCGTGGGTTCAAATCCCATCCTTGGCTTTGTATTTAGCCCCTAAAGTTTATTCTTATGTTTGCTTAGGAGGTTGATGTAAATGGATATCCATTTGAGGATAGGGGATATTCAACCCTTCTTGATTAAAAATTTTATAGACCTTTTCATTAAAATCAAAAAATACACTCCAGTAATCATCTGATTGTACCCATGCACGCACAGTAAAATTGACAGAGCTGTCTGCTAATTCTGCAACAGCAATAAAAACCTCGGGATCTTTCAGAATCCTTACGTCTTCATCACATAATTTTTTAATAATCTCTTTTGCGTTATCGACATCATCACCATACCCAATACCTACGGTCCAATCTACACGACGTTGAGACTCCGTAGAATAATTAACCATTGAGCTCGTCGACAAATCGGAGTTTGGGATAATAATGGTTTTGTTGTCAAATGTTGTCAAGATTGTATTAAAAATTTGAATTTCTTTAACAACACCGATAAACCCTTGAGCTTCAATAGTATCTCCAGCTTTATACGGTTTAAAAACTTGGATCAAAACACCACCTGCAAAATTTTGCATTGTTCCCGAAAGAGCCATACCAACAGCTAATCCAGCAGCACCAAGAATAGCAACAAAAGAAGTAACTTCAACACCTATCATACTTAAAACGCTAGTGATTAATAATACTTTTAAAGCTGTGCTAGCAAGTGTCTTTAAAAATGGGCGTAGAGATGGATCTGTATTTCTTTTCTCCATCACTTTTACAAGAGTATTGACAATTATATTGATACCCCATTTACCAATCATCAACAGTAAAATCGCACCAATAACTTTAGGGCTATATGTTATGGCAATTTCAACAACTAAATTTAATATATTTTCTATATTCATAAGCTACTCGGATTTTATTTCTTAGTTATTTGTTTATTCATTCTCGATTGGCACTATTATCTCTACACAGGTACAGGTATAGTCTCTAAAAGTTGTTCGATGATACTTTCTTGCAAACGGCTTAATGTATCTGTGTTATCAGCAACAACAATACGATGGGAAAAAACAGCAACGACATGTTGATAGACATCTGCTGTTGACACATAATCACGTCCTTCTAGCCAGGCAGTAGCGCGTGCAACCTGTGCCAGTGCCAACCCTCCTCGTGGGCTAACTCCGGCAACAATATTAGCAGAACTTCGAGTCGCCTTTAATAACGCAGTAATATAGTTAGCTATATCTGTATGCAGTGAAATCTTTGAAATATCTTGTTGAATTTGGCTTAACTGTTGTTGATCAATTACAGGGTCTAATTCCATAACAGGACGACCATAACGACGCTTTCGTAATAACTCTGCTTCTGCTTCTGCTTCGGGGTATCCCAACTGGATGCGTAATAAAAAACGATCTAACTGGCTTTCTGGTAATGGAAATGTTCCCATCTGTTCAATAGGATTCTGTGTTGCTAAAACAACATACGGTGCAGGTAATGTATATGTTTTCCCATCAGCACTAACATTACCTTCTGCCATTGCTTCTAATAAAGCACTTTGTGTTTTAGGTGTTGCACGATTTAGCTCATCAACTAAAAGCATATTTGAAAAAATAGGCCCAGGCCGAAAAACAAATTCTTGTTGTTTGGGATCATAGACAGATACTCCGACCAAATCTGCAGGAAGTAAATCTGATGTCATCTGTATACGGCGAAACGGAAGACTAAAAACCCGTGAAATAGCTAGGGCTAACGTTGTTTTACCGATACCTGGAACATCTTCAATCAATAAATGTCCACCAGACAAGACAGTTAAAATGGCCTGCCGTACAGATTTAGGATTACCAAGATAGACGGATCGTATTTGCTGTTCACAGGTGACGATTAGGTCTTGATAGTTATGCATTGGGCCTCCAAGCTAATTCAAAAATCAGCACGTAAAGAAATATACATATTAGAAGCATCTCGAAGTTGCCCCAAACTAGCTTGTTTGCCTCCATAAATTTGGGCACCGACGTTTAGTAATAAGCTATCTAATAGACGAAATGTAGCCTTAGGTTCAATATAATAACCAAAATCATCTAAAGCGGTTAAATACGTTGCTGACAAACTATGTTGTGCATCACCAAAACGATAGATTAAGGTAAGAAATGCGAGACGTTGTTCGATAGTAAAAAAAGGATTACCAAGGGGAGAAGGCGTCCGAAATACTGAATTATCTCCTCCTTGTATAACCTCTTCATCAAAAACACCTAACTCAAATTGAAGACTAGCACTCAAAAAACCTTTTAAACGTGCTGCAAGATGTACTCGAGAATTTGCAATACTAGGCTTGGTACCATCGAGATCATCTTGAGACAGTAAAAAAGCCGATTCAATGCCTAAGCTATACCCCTCTAATAATGGTATTGAGGCTTCAGCTGTAAAAACTGACCAGCGACTATACTCAATAGAAGCTGAAGAAGAGCTAATTGCCCCAAGTTGACTATAAAGATTCGCGTAGCCAAATGCTAAATCTATTGCATCTAAAGAAAGATAGACACGTGCAGCACCTTGGATATTCGCTACACGCGTATTAGGCGTATTGCGAGGCAACTCAAAAAGTCGAATATTACTTGCATTTGGATCCTTGGGATCAGATGCTACAAAAATATCTGTTTGATTTCCAAGCCAGATACTATCTGCAGGTAAAGTTGATGCAGTAAATAGTGGTAATAGATATAGCTCAACGGCAACAATATCACCTTGCCAATCGGCACGAAAACTCCAGAGTCCTATTTTACGTTCTGACCAGGGCTTTGTTGTATCTATTAATTGTTGAGGGTTTAAATAGTCAATAACACCATACTCTCCTATTGACCCCCAGGAAAACAGTTGTTTACCTAAAGTTAATGTAAAATTACCAGGATAGGCTCGAACCCATAGTTCACGTAAATTAGGCACAACCTTAAAGGATTGCTCCCTGCCATAACGGACGTCTAGCTCACCTGAAATAAGCCCCTCAAACATATCATTGGGTGTAATATACAAATTAATTCGTGCGTCTGGAAATGAGGCACTAGCTATATACGTATCACGCCCATCAAAATAGGCTCGAAGTTCTGGAGCGACAAAGCCTGTTAGCGTATAAAATTGTGAGGCTTGTGCTTGCGTAACAAACATAAACAGGAGACAACAACATTTTATAACGAAAATATAAGTTGTTTGACTCCAGCCACGCATCAGTATTTTTTTGTAAATGTTATTTTACTTTTTGTAAATGTCTTGTTGTAAAAATACGTTCAGGAATCTTCTGATTAATTTCTAGATTGGTTAGCTCTAAACGTGTTATATGGTTACGCTGAACCGTTTTCATTTCAATACCTGTTGGAATGGTATAACCGGCAATGGTTTTTGTTTGCGTATATGTTTTTTCTTTGATCAAATCACCATTCTGATCATATAGGTCTTCACGTAAAAGACGAAAATCAGAAACGCGTATATAGGCTACTATTTTACGATACAGTGCATTTTTGTTAGGTTCTGCTAACTCAAATTCGAGGATATAGACATTTTCTCCAGATAGTGTATCCTGGCGCAGTATTTTTTTGTTATAGTTGCTAAGTTTATGCTGTGCCATATCTGCGTATGCAAAATCAGAACCAAGAAAACTGCGTTTTTCATTTGTTGCGCCAATACGTTCTAACTTTTTGAAAGCGGGCAAATAGAGCCACATTTTTTCTGTTTTTCCTGTTGCAAGGCGTAAAAAACCAATACCTCGCATATTGGCTGGCGCTTGAAACCAAACAAGCTGTTTCTCATTACCAACACGACGAATCTGTAGCGTTCTTTCTGTCGATTTATTATTCTGATCAACGAGAGCCATTTTCATCGTTGCTTGCATTGTATCTGGCCCTTTCTCGGCATATGCAGCAGCTAAGATTTGCTCAAGATTAGCTTCTTGAGCTTGGCCTAAAGACACAAAAAAAGTCATTAAAAAACAACTTGTTAATACCATTTTCTTCATCATTCAAGAAACTCCTTTTTGACTTAAAGACTTCAGGGCTGGTATCACGATCAGTGCACCAAATGCGGCTGTTGCCATTGCTAACATAGAGAGTATACCCAATTGTTGGATTGGCTGAAATTGACTCAATCCTAAAACGCCTAAACCACATCCAACAGCAGCTGCATTTAATAGAATAGGTCGCCCCACTTCACTGATTGTTCGATGACTACGATCACCAAAAGGAATATCTTCATGAATGGCCCAGCGAGACAAAACATGGATACCATAGTCCACCCCGACACCAATAACAATCGCCGATACTAGCGCTGAGGCAATGGTAAGAGGCACTCCCACTATCCCCATGATACCGAAGACACCTAAAACAGATACAAAAAGAGGAGACATCCCTTCTAACCCTGCACTCAAACGTTTAAAGGTAATTAAACAAATGATAAAAACAAGGGCTAAACTAAAAAAGATACTACGCAATGTACTATGAACTACCATTTTATTTAGCTCTGACAAAAATAGTGCTTTACCTGTTACAACAACATTTAACCCATCTAAATGCGTTGCGACCTGTTGCTGTATGGTCGCAATGACGACTTCTAATGCTTGAGGATCTAAATTCGGCATACGTACTGTCAAACGAAAAGATTGCTCATCTGTAGCAACAAAACGTTGATACTGTTCTGGAGCTGCAGAGAGACTATACAAAAATAGTGCTTGAGCAACCTGAAAATCATCATCTGGGATTTCACGGACTCCTGTAAAGCCTTCTTGAATCCGTAAAATAACGTTAGCGATACTATCAACTGATCCTACTTCAGGTAATGCTTGAACGGCTTGTGAAAATGTAACGACTTTTTGTAAAACGTCTGCACGTTTGACATCCTCTTTAATCAAAATCTCTAACGGTGTACTACCTCGAAAAGCAGCATCTATTACCTCAGAGTCATAGCGCACAGGGTTATCTACTGTAAAAAAATGTTCTACACGTGTTTCGCGTTTTAGTTGTGGAACACCGACAACGGCGAGTCCACCAAGTATGATCACTAACGTAGTAATAACTATTAATGGTGCCCGTTGGGGTAAAAAGGCAAGCCATTTAAATAAGGACTCACCACGTGCTTTTTGATTGAGCAATTTTTTGGGTACAGGTAGTAATGAAAGGATGGCTGGTAAAACAAAATTGGTAAGTAACCACGCCCAAAGAACACCTAGAGCGACAACCCAACCAAGGGTACCGATCGGCGGAATTGGTGATAGAACTAAGCTTAAAAACCCTATTGCCGTTGTTAATGCTGCGATACAGACAGGTACCGTTAATTCGCAGATGACACAACGGACAGCGTCTTCTCGTGAATGTCCTTCTCGTAAACGTAGATAGAAAATACTTAAGATATGGATCGCACCAGCACAAGCTATCGCAAGAATTAATACCGGAAAGGTATTATTAATGGCTGTCATTGGAATACCAAGAGCCCCCATTAAACCAGCTCCTGGCAAAATGCTAAAGCTAACGATTATGACCGTAAGCAAAACAGCGGCTATCGTTCGAAACATCCACCCCAGGAATATAGCTAAAATAAGCATAACAAAGGGCATCATCACTGACATATCTTGACGAATAGCTGCTGCTGTTGCCGCCCGAATGGCTGGCATACCTGTTATATGGACTTGGTAAGGTCCTAAATTTTCTGCAGCCTGTTTTATAGCTTCAAGGATTTTGCTGTCAGCCTGGCCCTTTTTAGGGTCTAGATATAAAGCTGTACTTTTTCCATCTAGTGCAACAAAGGCACGTTTTATATCTGAATTAGCATTTATATCTTTTTCAATACGTGTTACATCTGTTACAGATGTAGGTGCTTGTTCTAAAATGGGGTATGGCTGCAGGCTACCTTCAGCGTCTCGTTCAAAACGATTTAATGTTGCCAAACCTTGTACACGGTTAATAACACGTTTTGTTTGCAGACGTTGTGTAAACTCGAGTACACGTTTCAGAAAATCTTGCTTAAAGATATGACCTGTTGGATTAGAAACCGTAACAATTAATGTTTCGGAAGGGCCGAAAGACTGATCTAGTTCTGTCATTGCCTTCCGTATCGGATGAGAAGACGGGATGACTTGCGTTAGGTCATCAAGAACACGAATTTTTGTTGCCCCAACACCAAGTGCTAAGCTACTCACTAACGCGCATAAAATGAGCTGTTTTGGTCTGGCCAGGACAACTTCAGCGATACGATGTGTCATGCGAGAAGGCAAGGTTTAACCTTCGAAACCTTACTTATTCATACTATTAAGAAATTCTTCATTGTCGGCCGTGCCTTTGATTTTATCAATCACAAACTCCATCGCCTCAATGGTTCCCATCTGGCTAATTACTTTACGTAAAATCCACATACGGTTTAGTGTCTCTGCATCATGAAGTAATTCTTCTTTACGTGTACCACTTTTTGTAATATCAAATGCAGGAAAAATTCGTCGGTCTGCTAAACGGCGATCAAGATGGATCTCCATATTGCCAGTTCCTTTAAACTCTTCAAAGATAACTTCGTCCATACGGCTACCAGTATCAATTAATGCGGTACCAATAATCGTTAGGCTGCCTCCAGCCTCAATATTACGTGCAGCCCCAAAAAAGCGCTTAGGCTTATGTAACGCATTTGAATCAAGTCCGCCAGATAAGACCTTACCACTTGAAGGCACTACTGTATTGTATGCCCGAGCAAGACGTGTAACAGAATCAAGTAGGACAACAACGTCTTTACCATGTTCAACAAGTCTTTTGGCTTTTTCAATTACCATTTCAGCTACCTGCGTATGGCGTTGGGCAGGTTCATCAAAGGTGCTTGAGACAACCTCTCCTTTGACATTACGTTGCATATCGGTAACTTCTTCTGGCCGTTCATCAATTAGTAACACAAATAGATGTACCTCAGGATCATTTTGCGCGATTGCTTTTGCAATACTCTGCATCAATACAGTTTTTCCTGTTCTTGGTGGCGCAACAATAAGAGCCCGCTGCCCTTTACCGATTGGAGCAAAAAGTTCTAAAACGCGTGAAGATAATTCTTCCGCATTCCATTCCATTTTTAAACGACTATCTGGATAAATTGGTGTCAGATTATCAAAAAGAATTTTTTCTTTATTGTGCTCTGGTAGATCGTTATTAATACTTTCAACCTTTAGTAAGGCAAAATAACGTTCTCCACTCTTTGGTGGCCGAATCAGACCACGAATAGAATCTCCTTTGCGCAAAATAAAACGACGTATTTGGCTAGGACTAACATAAATATCATCTGGGCCAGGTAAATAGTTATAATCGGCACTACGTAAAAAGCCATAACCATCTGGTAGTACTTCTAATGTCCCCTCGGCTCGTACAGCACCTTCGTTACGCATATGCGTCGTTAAGATACCGTAAATAAGTTCTTGTCGTGTTAACCCACCAACATTTTCGACTTCGAGCTCTCGTCCCATTTCGACGAGTTCTTTGATACTTTTTCTTTTTGTTTCAACAAGACTGAGGATCTCAGACTCATCGGGCATCTCAAAGTTTTCTTCTTCGATTTCGATTTCTTGCTGGCGGCGATAGCCGCGATGATTACGACGGTTACGGTTATTACGTGAAGATTGGTTACGGGGCATAAAAGAGACTCTCCCAGATTATTTGTTGTCAGAAGACAGTAAGAAATTGACGCTGAAACATTTACGTGCGCAAAATCCCGCTTTTGTGAATTATGGATTTATTGAGAATGGTTTAGAATTTTTAGCTGCTTCGTTGTCTAACAATGTCTAGCTGTTTGTTATATTTCAGCTTTGACTTCTTGGTCAGCTATTTAAGTTAATCAAACCAAGTTTAGAATTATTTGTCAAATCCTAAGGTTCTTGTTTGTCTGTATACTGATCTCGTTCTAAATTAAGAAGGCGTTGTTTTAAGGTATCAATTTCAGTCACCATCTGTTCCATCAGTAATGCTGAAGGATCCGGCAAGTTACCATGATCAAGGGTTTCGTCATCGTCTTGCAACCCACGCCGCTGTACAATACGTCCGGGGATTCCGACAACGGTACAGTGATTTGGAACATCTGTAACAACAACGCTACCAGCCCCAATCCGGGTATGATGCCCAATTGATACTGGCCCCAAAATATTGGCTCCTGCCCCAAGCACAACATGATTTTCTATGGTTGGATGACGTTTTGTTTTTTCCTGACTTGTACCACCAAGCGTCACCCCATGGTAAAGGGTAACATCAGAGCCAACTTCAGCTGTCTCTCCAATAACAATACCCATACCATGATCAATAAATACACGTTGCCCAATTTGTGCCCCAGGATGAATTTCGATACCTGTTAGTAGTCGCGTCAGATGCGCTAGGACTCTTGATAACAACTTAAACCCACGCTGCCATAGATAATGATTAAAACGATGCATCACCAAAGCATGGACGCCTGGATATGTTAGGACGACCTCAAGCCAAGAACGTGCTGCGGGGTCGCGTTCAAAAACAATGGCAATATCTTTTTTGATGTTATCAAGTATGGTCATTCGCCTACACTAAGATACAGAAGGTTGATCTTTATTATTGTAACGAGATTTTATTTCTGTGTAGCTTCTTTCTTTTCAGGTCTTGTGATACAATTGCGATTATGCCACGAGAATCCCTTCGTAACAAACAGCAGCGTGCTCAAACCGTCTGTCAGGCGCTAGAACAGGCCTACCCGCATTCTAAGTGTGCCCTTCTTTATGAGACGCCCTTTCAATTGCTTGTCGCAACGGTTCTGTCAGCTCAAACAACTGACTTAGCTGTCAATCGTATCACGCCCGGTCTTTTTACAGCCTTCCCAACACCACACGCCATGGCTCAGGCCCCTGAAGGCGAGTTAGAACAGTTAATTAATTCGATTGGTCTTTGGCGTAATAAAGCAAAATTTTTACGCGGTTTAAGTGCTATGTTGGTTCAAGATTACGATGGCAAGCTGCCTCAAACAGTTGTTGAGCTTAAACGCCTACCAGGCGTTGCCAAAAAAACTGCAACCGCTGTTTTGGGCTCCGCTTTTGGCCTAGCTGTGGGGATTACGGTAGATACTCATATGCTCCGTATTCATCGCCTACTTAACCTTAGCCAGGCAACAACTGCAGATAAAATGTCAACAGAGCTCGAACGTCTGATTGATCCATCTTATTGGACAAGCTACACCCATCGTATTATTGATCATGGTCGTCTGGTCTGCGTTGCTCGTAAACCACGTTGTGGTGTTTGCCCCCTGACAGCAGTCTGCCCTAGTGCCTATCAAGCAGATCATGGGTATCAACCGATCAACGATACTCAAGAACCTGCTAGCGCAAAGGGGTTGAGTTGGTTGGCCTAACGAGTTATCGTACGTTGACCACAATCATAAAGTAGAAAATTTGTTTTATAATTATTTTTAAATATTTTTAAATCATTGAATGGTCATAGATTAAATATTTCGCCAGTGAATATAAAACCTTCTACATAAATTCCAATTCATACAATAACTTTTGTACCTTTTTATCTATGTTTAACCTTTTACAATCAAACTTCTTGGGGGCCTCTTTGTTACTAAATAAAGAGCAAGAGCAGGCGATTCCCAAATGCTCTCGATTTTTACTCTACGAATATTTGTATGTATGTCTTATTTTGTTTGCCATACTACAGATGTTTTCTCTTCCCTATGGTTTTTTAGTTTCTCATCGTGCGTGGATCGATAGTCACGGTTTAGCATTAGCACAATCTTTAGATGCTGCTTGGCCTTTTTTGCTTTCTAATGGGTCCCCGGAAAATGGTTTATATAATCGGTGGCCATCGGGAGGTTTTTGGGTTATTAAGTGGATGCAGTCACTGGTTGAGCATAGTGAACTGGCAAAGTACGAAATTGCAAAAATGACAATGCGGCTTTTTGCATCTCTTGCTTTAACCAATCTGTATCTTGCACTACGGTTTCTTAAGGGAAGATCTCTTATTGCCCTATCAGCTATTCTTACCATTGCTTCAAGTTATACCTTTTTGTATTACAACGATATGGTCTTTAGTGATGTTCCCACTTTATTTTCTTGTTCTTTATTCGTATTGGGAGCTGCTTTATTTATTGCTCAACAGCGTATAGTTACCTACGCCCTTTTATGCTCTGTCTCGTTTATCTTTGGTTGGCAGCACCTATTTCCTGTCGCTATTTTTTCACTGTATGTAGTGTTTGCATCGAACAAACAAAACACCACTATCTTCAAAGCCGTATCTCTCATACTACTTATAGGTACAGCTTTTTTATTGTTCACCGGTGCTGGTTTACTTAGTGAATATCTGTTTACAAATGGGAGTATCCCTAGCCTTGAAAGTCTGTCACATAAGATAGGAGCTAATAAAGAGTTTAATCTTAAAGTTGCCAAGATGATAAGCTGGCCGACTTATACGTTTTGGCAGACGCTTTATTTTATACAGACTATTTTTCCAACTGGTCATACGTATCTTTTTATTTTTTTCAGTATCTTATTTACGCTATTATTCATTACAGCAATACGACATCTTAAAAAAGAATCTTTTGTACTTCCCGTATTGATCTCTTTGTTTGTTGGTGGCCTCTTATTTGCTGTTATCTTTCGTCGCTTTCTTGCTCTTCATGAATTTCAGATGCTTCATTTTATTCCTTTGGCTGTTCTTTTATGCTTTTTCGCATTTCAACAACTTCAAAAATATTCTCTGTTATGTTACGCCCTAGCACTCTATTCTATGGCCATGTTCGTCCATCAAACCTACACGTATTCGCAAAAAAAATCTGCCATCTCCCAACAGCTTGCAACTATTGAAACATTTGACGATATCCAGAGGATCAAAAAACTTGTTCCTTTAAATACCGTTACCTTCGATCAATCGATTAGCCAGCAACATCTATGCGGTGCAGGTCATTGTGCAAATTATTTTTTTCCCAATTGGCAAGCTAATGCCAACAATCATGACTCGAATAAGGTTAAACTCGTCTATTCGCCAGAGACGCAACGTAATCATCTTGTTCTTGAAGCCTTACTGCCTAACGCCAATACGCTACCCTTGCCAAAAGAACATCCTGTTTATATTTCTACCGTAGGCGGTTCATCTGCTCTTATCCTTGAGTTTCCTTTTGTTTATAACCTGATTGCATCTATGAAAAAATATGTATCTTATGCAATAGCTTATAAAAAGACTGCGTTAGCTATGGTGAAGGCTCAAGGCCTACCTTGGGACCATGATTTAAATTTTATGATCCCTCCTAAGACACAAATTTTAATCACGTTTGACAAGCTTAAACAAGCTAGAGGTGTCGAGTTATCAATAAGTAATAACGATTATTATTTATTAGAATTTAGACTTGGTGACACCATCGTTTTTGACCACATCGTAAAACCAGAGCGCGTTATAGGAGATCTGACGATCAGACAGATTATGTTTGACACGTCTTTAGAATTTGATCATGTTCGTATTTTGCCAGCTGGGGGAGACCAACGATTTAGCATTGGCCATTTTATCTTTTTGTCATCCCCAAGATGAAAAAAGAATTTTATAGATTTAGAAGTATCAATAGGTTGATCGGAGAATCTAAAGAATTAGAAAATCAAAGTATCTATTTTGCAGAACCAGATGAATTAAACGATCCTATGGAAGGCTTTCGAGATATTTACTGGAAAGGTGATTTTATAGTCTGGAGAAATCTGTTTCGACATTATCTATTGTGCCTTGAGAGGTTTTGTAATTTGTTG